GATAGATTACCGTAGTGCAAATGCAGCCGACGTTGCTAGGGTTTACGGATGTCAGAAGTTTCGAACTTGGACTACGCCATGCCCTTGTACCCGCACACCGCCCCATGCCTTTGATACGCACGGGCTTTAAGAGAAGTATCCATCACATTATCACCGCGGGATCACCGCCAGGGTAAGACGGGTTCAAGTTACTGCAGGTGAGCGGTCGGAAGCGGCCTCCATTGAGCCGCCAATGATGGGCCGCATGTGAGCTTTCAATCTAATATCACCAATTATAATAATCAACGAAGTAGATCCACTTAGAATGCTTGAGTTCGACTCTCACTATACCACAGGTATACCACTCTACTTATTTGCAGTATTGGCGCTATCGCTGAGCTATGCATTCTGAAGAAACTCTTAATATCGTCTTTGAAAGGCAGACTTTTCAAAGTGGTTTGTTATCTTAGGCATATACGATTCAGCTTTGAATTCTTGAATGATCTTCAGCATATGTATAGACCTAAAATTCGGTCGGAATGCTGCTCAACTCCGCTCTTCTTGTCTACTGTTTGTTGCATTTGTGTTGAAATGTAAGATATCAATCTGAAAGTAAACACTTGATGAACTTCTAACATGTTGCGGGTTGAGGCCAGTGAGACCGCGTGGCGCTTAGCTTCCGATTTAGGACTTCCGTGAAGGTGAGTTGGAAGTCGCGCGCAAACTTGTACGGTATGTACTTTTGTACTCAACGGTACATCCCAGCTACGGCAGCCGGCGATTCCGGTACCGTACAAATTGGAAAGGTAGGTATCTTTTGATACCATAAAATGGAATCTGGAATGATTTATCGACGTTCTTTTATCCCGGCGCCGGAAGGTGACCGGACGGCATGATTGCTCGGCCCGGTAGATGCCGAGCCGGTGCCGGCACTGACCGGCCAATGCCGGCAAAGCTGCCCGGGCTGCGCACCCCGGCGCCGGACAAACTGAACTCCCGGGCGGCCACTCCGGCGCCACGTGCTGTGCCGCCCGGGTTGCAGCTCGGCGCCGGCAGTGGTGCCGGCTACAACTCGGAATATCTGCCGCCCGGCACTAAGCGGCCCATCGTTGGCGCCGCCCGGCTCCACTCACGGCGCTGAGGGAGCCGCCCGGCGTGACTTCCGGGCTTATGCCGGCACCCCCGGCACGCTCACGGATGCCGGACGGTAATAAGGGTCCCCGGGGGCGCCGCCTATGCCGACGGCACCTTCCGGCATACATCCGGCCTTGTGACAAGATGACAAATTTCCGATGACGGTAGCAGGGTTTGAGCGTACTGATCTGCCAATGCCGCTCTAGTTCGTGGCATCTCAAAGAATGTATGAACAACTTGCAGTCTGACTGAATGTAGACATGTTCGCCACTCGCGGCCCGCTGCCGAAGCTTCCGATTACAGCGTTTTTGTGGAGCTGGCCCGACCTGAAGTCGCAGGAGAGATCCTCTGGTAATGAGAAGACGCGCCAGGTATCATTCTGAGTGTCGTAGAGGCTTCCATGCACGGACCTAAAGCCCTGATGTTTCATTGGGTTTTTTTCGTCAAATGAGAAATGCAGAATGAGGATGTACCGCTTTGATGCCACCATCTTCAGGCTGGTCGTGGCTACAACGTAGGTTTCGTAAAGAACAAAGCACTCAACTGCACGAGATAATGGTGCCTCTTCCTCCTTGAAGTGCAACGAAGTTCTCTCACGCCAGTAACCATCTTGGTGCCCCAGCTCAAAGGAACGCATGCGCAGTTGCTTGACCTTCTGAAGGGGAGTACCTCGTTGCAGCTTTGGTTTGCTGAGAACATACAGGGTTTTGCCAACAATCACGAGACTCTCCGGAACAGTGTCTATCCAACCTTCATTTGACTGCGCATCTCCCAGACTGCTCAGACCCTTGCCAAAGTGTCCTGCCATGAAGGGATGCACATAAAGCTCCGTCCCATCTTTGTTCGGGATACCCAACCCTGGGCATGATTCTTGTGGCAGGCCTTTACCCACGCGACAGACAAACTTATGCAATCCTGCCACGAGAAAGACTCCCGCCCTTCCCAGCAGGCTCCCATCTTCCACGGTTTGCCTCCAAGTTCTGGAGACGAACCTTAGCCTACGCAGATGTTCAAAGTCTAGGTCGAAAGCAGAAACGAAGCTGCATATAAGACCGTTTGAGTCGTTTGGAAGCTGCTCAAACAGGGCGGCCATATTAACACGGCTTGAAGCAGACCGCTTGAACGGAGTGCTTGCTCAAAGCAGGTCCAAGACTATAGTCTTCATCGCGTTCTTCAGGATCTCCGCGGCCGCGTGCCGTGACGCAAATCCAACCAGCCGATTGAACCCTCAGCTTTGAGCAGCAGGGTTTGCGACGCGCCCGGCGGCCGCGGGTACGCCCGGTTGCGCTGCAAAGCAGGTGATCTCCAATTTTCGGCAGCCATCATTAGACTGCCAACTTGAACAAACGCTTCTTTTGCAGAGTCCCGCCATGGCCCTTTTTGATCAGCTTCCAGAGGACGTGAACCTGCTGATATGCCAGCTGCTCCATCTCCGCTCTTGACCTAGACTTTGAGGAGCTAGGCCGGTTGAGACGCGTCTCCAAGCTTTGGAGGCAAGCCGTGGAAAGCGGGAGCCTGAGAAGGGCCGGGCTTTTCCACCAGGCAGACTTGCATAAGTTTGCGTGTCGGGTAGTGGATAGTAAAAGAGTATCCTATCCAGCACTTGGCATTCTGAATAGACCTGGGACAGTTCTTCATGTTCATCCCTTCGTACGAGGGACCGTTATGGCTTGATGGCTTAAGCAGCCGGGAAGATCCGCAGTCAAGCCAGGTTTGGAAAGACATTCCAGAGAGCGCTGTCGTTGTGAACAAAACCCTGTATATACAGGCTTAGCGAGCCACTGGTTTCGCCACATGAAACTTCCGCGGAAGTGAAGGTGCTGAAGATGCGCTTTCGAAGTTACGACTTGAGATCCGCCAACAGCTGGCAAGAAAGGGTTCCGCTACAATTCGTTGAGAAAGATGCGCCTATTTCATCTGCAGTAGATTGCAATGGCAGCAAGTCCGAAACAACGTAGCCTAGAGTACTCAAAGTCGTGGCCTCTGAGCGGTACATCTTTGTTCTGCACGTGTCAACGAAGTCGGGCGTTCGCAGGATCAGGTGGGGCCAATCCTGGCACTCTTTAAAACAATTGCAAAGAAATGCCGAAAAAAAGGAATTTTGATAGTCGATGGTGGGAATCGATCCTAGGACCTTTCGGAAGGTTGGTACATTCCGGTACTTTCTAAAAGTACACCCGGACGGACCCAAAAGTACACATGTACGCTCCAAGTACAGCCCGCCGTCATGTCAGCACTGTCAGCTTTTCGGCATTTTGACGTTTGATCTTGTCAGTTACTCAAATCATGGCCAAATTGAGTTCCGATTTTTGCTACCGGTACCCCATCGGTAGCAGATAGCTACATACCGGTACAAATTTTCACTACCGCCTGCCAACCGGTCGGTGGCAAAAGTGGCCGGTACATGCGGATATTCAAAAGGGCGCCCCACGGAAGTCAGACCCGGCCCAAATTTTTTGAGGTGATTTTTGGGCACTGAGCCCACCTAGGGTACCTCTTATGCACTGCGTTCCTACTTTTCAAAAATCTGATCGGATGCGGCCTTGGGAGAATAAATGTATTAATTTTATTTATATTTATCTGTACTAATTAATATCGTAAATACCCTGCCGGGGTCAAATCTGTGCGGAAATTTCGGAAGTAGGAATGGTGCACTAAACTTTCCCAAGGCCTAACCTGTGCCCAAATGTCGGCTTGCGAAAGTTGGACCAAGGCCGACTTCCGTGGGGCGCCCTTTCGAAATCGTTGACGTACCGGGCACTATTTCTATCTACCGGGCACTCGTCACTTTTGGCAAAAGTGAGCGTTGTACATTTTAAAGGTACGAGTTGTGTGTATTGAACTAGAAATGCCA